AAGTTTCCCAGGGACTACCATGCCTCTCTGCCACTCATAGCTTAAAGTTTATATATAGTTACATAAAAGCTGCCATTTTCCTGTCCATGTCTGCTGCACTTGCTCTTTACCTGGATATTGCACCCAGCCTTATAATGCTAATAAAATAACAATCTCAGTACTGGGACCTCAGATGTCATCTAAGTCACCCCTACCTGAAGCATGAATTCTCATACAATACAGTATTCCTAATAGGTGGTTTATTCCACTCTGCTTAAAGACTTCCAGTGAAATGGAAATTAACTTGTATAATATCCACTGCAACATAATAATGGCTGTAGTTTCTTCTACATGCTTATTCAGTATAAATAAATTTTCTTTTGGGGAGCTAAGGAGGTTCAAAGTATGTGGTACAATGCCTTGATTCATCTTCTGAGTGATTTTTTTTGTGTGTGGTGAGGAGGACATGAAGATAAGAGATAAATGTGGCAAGGGGAAAATGACTGAAATGTAGGTAAAATTAATGACAACCATGGAAGGGAATGCTTTATTAAAGAGTAAATCTCATCATGGGAAATGACATTCCCCAAATATTTTTGCTACCAAACTAACTCTAAAAACTACTGACAATGCTAGATTATTGAACTAGATGAGCTCCTTAACAGCTAACTCCTAACCTTCCTTGAGTGTTAATACTACACCTATTTCAGAGCAGACCATTTATGACATGGCAGTACTGCCAATTTAGAGTAGTGTGACTATATACTGGGTACCAGTTTCCAATTCTATTCAGTTAATAAGAAAAACAAAACGAGGCAACCAACCATTTTACTTTTAGTCATACTGTATCACAAGTCTACTCATGTTTTCGCCTGTTAAAAACAGAACCTGGTTGATGTCACAACTACCGACGGCTACCTGCTCTGCCTCTTTTGTGTTGGTTTTATCAAAAAGTGCAACAACCAGATTCGTAAGACCTCTTATGCCCAGCACCAATAGGTCTGTCAAATTCATAAGAAAATGATGGAAATCATGACCCGAGAGGTGCAAATGACTTGAAAGAAGTTGTCAATAAACTAATTCCAAGACATCACTGGAAAAGACATAGAAAAGCCTTGCCAGTCCATTTACCCTCTCCATGATGTATTTGTCTGAAAAGTCAAGATGCTCGAGACTCCCAAATTTGAATTGAAAAAGCTAATGGAGCTGCATGGTGAAAGTGGTGGCTCCGGAAAACCTTCAGGAGATGAAACAGGTGCAAAAGTAGAAAAAGGGCTGATGGCCATGAACCACCAGTTCAAGAATCTGTCTGAGAACTTTTAAAGGTTGAAAAATAAAAATTTATTATTGTGAAAAAAGAATAGAACCTGGAAAAGAACAAAAGTAATAAATCTTGAAGTAGCAGACTAAAATTTTAAGATTGTTGGAGGGGGGCCTCAGAGGTCAACTAGGCAAAGCCCCTACCAAAGGCAACAATCCCCTCCATAATAATCCTGACAAGTGATCATTTAGTCTCTGCTTTCGTAAACTGAGGGGCAGAGGATTCCCTACCTCATAGGACTTTCCAAGATATGTCATTGCACAGCTCTGTTGGAAAATTTTTCTTCCTTATTATCAAGGTGAGATACACCTTCCTGTCTTATCTAACCAGGTTTCTGGCCCTACGTTCTCTCTTCTGGAGCAACACAAAAGTTTAACCCATTTCACAAGGCAGTCCTTTAAATACCTGAAAGACAGCTATCATGTTCTTACTTAACCATTCTCTTCTCCAGATTAAACATGCCCAATTCCTCACATGATATGACTTCTCTTTAGAAACTCAATACTCTACAAGAGCTACAATCTCCCATTCAATTCACCATCCCAGAAAATTACTATCCTCAACTTTGTAAAATTCTATTACAAGAGCTAAATTCTCAACTGATACTTATTCACAAGACTTTTATGATCAGGAGATTTATTTCAACTTTTAGGCCAGCATGCTAAAATAAATTTAAACTTCATCTTTGATGTGGTGATGATGTGCTTACTGTACTAGGAAACAGGAAGATTACATTTTCTTAAAGACCATTAAAAAAAGCATCAGCATAATCAAAAATAACAAATTTTTTAGAGAATTTTCTCAAAAGGCTTGTCTCTAGAGTGGGGCTATATGTCTAGTTTGATTTGTATAGAGTGGAAACAGTTTCTACAATAATTTCAGTCCTCTTTCACAGAACACAAAACTTTACTTCTAGGGCAACAGAACCAAATTTTAAATAGTCAAAAAGAACAAGGAAGAGACAGTTTGGTTATATATATATACTCAGTAATTCCTACAGCCCAGGACAGGTCATCAGAGATGTTACTAACGCGTATGGAAGACAGGATAGATAAAATTGCTTCCCTAGACCATTTTGGCATGAGTTACCTAATACTAGAAATGGTGCCTTGTGTCCTGCAAGTAAAGGGTAAAATGAAAAGTATTCTGGCCTCTATGTAGCCTTGACAAGTTACAGGCTTAATGGAGTTTCAGAGGCAACATAAAAGAAATGGGGCTCTCAATCTGATACACTCTTCTAGGGGAGTTAATGTAACTGAGCTAAGACCTTCAATTCTGGAATTAATTGAAGATAACATTTCACATATTTAAAAACTGTGATAAACACTCCTATTCTGCATTAACATGGAGATGGTACATTCACTTTATTACACAGTAAAAATTCAAAATTGAAGGAAAATATTCTGGGTCTCAAGGCAACAGTATTCATAGGAAGCAGATCTTCAATTTTTGATATACTTTTCTAGCACAGAAAGAGGAGCCCTAGTCAAGAGGATGGAACTTACTACATACATGTGCAAGCCCAGAAATGAAAACTTCTGAGTGCTGACACACCAGAGCAAACAAGGAACAGTTCCAGTGAGCAAATAAGTTACATTATTGTCAGACTTGTGGGAAAAAAGGAATATTATTTGTGCCATGACAGCACAAATAATCTTGGACAATAAAACAGGCCCTCAAGACACCCTAAATTAGGGAAAAATATACTAATACTTGGTGGAAGGAAGTATGGATTAATTGCTATCAAATGGTCTAAATTCTCTAGTTTTTACCAAGAAAAGTTGTATTCTGAGAATACAACATTCATGATTCCCACTGTGGCGGAAAGAATCCTGAACCTGAAGCCATGAGACATGAATGCTAATACTGGCTTAGTTATGAGGACCTTCCCGTAAGTCATACAAATTTTTTGTACCTCAGTTTCCTCTTCTATACAAGTTGGACAAATAATAACTATCTTCCATAACACACCTGGTAGCATGAAGATGATATAATAGAAATTGTTCTTAAAAGAAAAAAGTAGTATTAAAGGATAATTATTACAAATATTCAAGATATGTCCTCAAGAATCCAAGATTTCCCTGTCTCCTTGGCAAAAATCTATTTTCCTCCAAAGAGTCATAGAATCCTAGACAACAAGCCATCCCCAATTTGGCAGAAGCAAGAATACTGATGTATACATAGTGAATGTGGATACTGATGGATGAAAGAGGGAATAAAATCTTTCTGACATAAACAGAATTTTAAAAAAACTTTCTGTTTCCAGGCAGCTAGGTGGCATAATGGATAGAGCTCCAGCCTTGGAGTCAGGAGGACCAGAGTTCAAATCCAGCCTTAGACACTTGACACTTACTAGCTGTGTGATCCTGGACAAGTTACTTAACCCTGACTGCCTCATCAAAAAGCAAAAAAAAAAAAAATCTGTTTCAATTCTTGTTGAAAATCTTTACAAAACCTTATTAGTCCACACATTTCTTGTTAAGTAAGTACAGTACAGTAAATATCATCTCCTGTTTCTTTGATGATTTATGACCTTGTAGTGCCTCAGGGTCATGATCCTGAATGTCAATTCTTCTTGCACAATCTTGCAGTTAAAAAAGAAGACGATGAACGTGTACTGACCCTAGCACATATTCTGTACTGCTTTTTCAAATAAATCCCTGATAACAGTTTTTTCTTGTCATTTGCTTCTTTCACTTAGAAGTTGACTGCAGCAAAAAAAGTTCTGGTTTATTAAGGTTTATACTGTAATGTATATTATATGCATATAATAAAAATTCTTAGGTAAGTACCTATAAAAGTACACCAACCTATACAGAAGGACATGGTAATCAAAACCACACAATGATGAATTTCCCTAAGTGTCCTGATCTTTCCTCAGCCTCGTTCTGACATCTCATTTTACTTGCAAATGTATATTTTAACTAGCAGCATCAAATCCATGATTTTTCAACATATCGAATTTCATGAAAGAATAAAATGTTAAAAATGAAAGAAACTTTGGAAATTCTCTCCTCCAGCCTACCCGCACTTTACAAATGAATAATTAAGCCTAAAGAGGCAGGGACTTGCCAAAGGTCAGTGAGTAGCAGAGGCAGGATTTGAGCATGAAATCTCCTGATTCCCACTCCAATAACCTCCCGCTTTCTCAGGCTGCTAGCAACCTTCACATTTTCTGCTTGAAAATGTTAGTTTCATTCTTTTAAAATGAGACATTCATGAATACGGCTGCCAAAAGCAGGACTGATTATCTCATGGATTTTACAAATGTAGGGAGCTTTTGTTTATGCCTGGATTAATAATACAGAATTTCAAAGCATTTGGACATCTTTTACAATTTCATCAGGAAGGCTACTCAGGACTTAGACAGTAGCACTGAAAGGTAATTACAGTTCTAGAGACATAGGGTAACTTTCTGCCTTATGGTAAACTCTAATAAAATTCAGTAATAATGGTCACTTTCAAAATTACACAAAAGCAGCTTATAAACATTACTGTCTCCTCAAATATTTCTAAACCTCTCGCCTAGGTGAGACTGCCAGGATTATCTTCAGAATTATGTGGTTTCTAGGATTAAGGATTCAAGTTAGAACTTTAAAAGAACCAATAAAAAAATCACATTTAGACACACAAATGCACGTTCCTGTTAATGTATAATCCAACACTCTGACATTTAGTAACTACTTTTTCATTTCAAATATAAGTTTGCCAGTATGCCATAGCATCTTTTTATTTAATCTACACTACTGCCTCACAAAGGCAAAGACCAAAGTTGGCACTAGTTCATACTTGGTTTAGAGAACTAGTACTATGTTCACGTTTTCACTGGATTTTTCAGAAAGGCTTATGTGCTGCTTGCTACTAGTTATCTTCCAAATTTACTCTGTCCATCCACAAACTCAGCAGAGCAAAAAGGGGCCTGTCTTCTTTGTGATGATGATCCCTCAGTCAGTAATGTTTTCAGAGACTTTTGGAAGAATTCCATGGCAGGTATACTCAGAGGCAGATAATGTTGTTTTCAAACAACAGAAAGAAAGGTGGAGAAAGGAGGGAAAATGACGCTCCTCGTGTCTGGTGGAAATCTTCCCTGTTGACAGGCAGGAGGCTCTCTTGACACTCTAGGCAGCTGTTGCAGGCAAATGTAGTCAGGCTTGTTTCAGACGTTATAATCGGGGGACTTGCCTTGGGGCTGCCTCAGCCAGATCTGTAGTGTCACAAACACTCCCACAGTCACATGAAAGAAAAGCTGCCAGAGGTTGCGGAGTTCATATAGATACATGTTGCACAGACAAATTAAGCCAAAAGTCAAGAAAGATTTTACATTCCTCCAGCCAGTGCAGTAGATGAGCAAATAACACTGTCCAAAAACAAAAATCAAAGACAATTATTATTGGTCAGGAAGAGATCTTTCAGCAACCAAATTGCAATAGGCCAGCATACAATAATAGTCATAATAATGGCCAACACTTGTTCAGCACTTTGAGGTTTACAAAGTACTTTACAAATATTGTATCATTTTATCCTAATAACTCTGTGAGGTAGGTGCTATTATTTTCTTCTCCATTTTACAGATGAAGAAACTGAGGCTGAGAGAGATTAAGTGATCTTTCCAGAGTCACACAGCTATTAAGTGTTGGAACTCAAGTCTTCCTGACTCAAGTCCAACACTCTATTTCCTAAGCCTTCCAGTTGCCTTGGGGATAAATAAGAAATGTTATTCAGTGGTGAATCAATTTAAGAGCTCTAAATCACTGTCTTAAAAACTCCACAGCTAACGGAAAAGATAATATTTTCTTTTATTCTCTTCACTTTTCTAAAATAAAAAATGCTAAGTACAATATTTAAGAAGCACAGTTGGAAATTCTCCACAAGCAGGCTGAGCAAATTTCCCAGGATGATAGGCTACTAGGTCTGTATATCTAAGGGCTAAGACTACTGCTGCTCCTTCCTGTCTACCCTAAACCTAGAAAAGTACAAAAAGTGCATTATATATATGTATACATACATACACATATAATCTTTGATAAAATGGTGGTGAGAATGGACATGAATGAAAAGGACTGCTATCCTAGAAGTCAATTCCAAATAGGTCCTGACTACTTTCAAGGTTTAACATGGCACAATAAAACCCACAGTCACTCAAAGTAAGTGCATTCCCAAGACCCCTCTGTATATGACAGTATACATATATTTGTACATATTTGCAATCATATAACAAATGACAATGGACAGAACCTTAAGCAACTCAACCAACTTCCAGAAAAATCTAAAATTCACCAGAAGCCATAAAATGTCACTATGTGATATTACAAAGCATCACAGGAAAGAAGACAATGTTCCTGTGCTAAACTGAAGGCTGGCTTCAGAAAAAAAAAATTTAGTAGAGGTGAATATCCTTGAGCAGACATAAGAGACTAAAATGCCTTGTGAAAAACTAAGAATGAAGCAGTGACAATTCAGAAATACACCATGTTAAACTGGTTCATAGGTTGTGGTGGTCAAAAGTATGCACAAAAATTACAAAGTAAGAAACGGGAGAAACTGTGGTCTTAAATGATGAAGGGTACAGCAACACCAATGAAATCACTGATACACCAAAATACCAAAGTAAAAGTTGGATCAGTTCCAATAAAAAATTATAACTGATTAAGAAGCATGTTATGATTCAAATAAATTGAGTTTTGCAATTAATTATATCTGTGAGAACACAATTATTAACCTGTTTAACCCAATACCTTTTCTCCCTGTTACACATACACACATACACACACACACACATACAATATACATATATGCGGGTAGCTAAGTGGTACAGTAGATAGAGTGCTAGGTCTGGAATCAGGAAGTTTCATTTTCCTAAGTTCAAATCTGGCATCAGATACTTCCTAGCCATATGATTTTGGGCAAGTCACTTAACCTTGAACTCCTATAAAATGAGCTGGAGAAGGAAATGAGAAACCACTCCAGTACCTTTGCCAAGAAAATCCCAAATGGGGTCATGAACAGTCAGACATGACTGAAATGACTGACCAATGCATTGTATCTATAGGCACATGCTGCAAATATAATTTACATGCACATAAGTACATATGTATTGGTACTTAAGTTTTATACATGCCTTTAACTTTTAATCACAGCCATTTCCCCCACCCCAAAACCTACCTGAATTCTTTTTTAAATTTTTATTCATTTTGAATGTAAATACAAAAAAGAAAAAATAACATTTCCAAGTATACAGTGCAACATAAAAAGAGTATTCAATATAAAACCATGAATTTCCATTTCACACTATTTACTTTTTTTAAAAAAATTATGGAATAAATACTACACATCATTTACCCTGCTTTTTCTGTGCTTCCTTCTAAATTTTCTTTTGTTCTCTTCTGTGCACTTTTTATTTTTTTCCTCCCTCCCTCCCCACCCCACCGCAGAGAAGGCTACCCCTAAACACTAATATGTGTATGTATGTATGGATAGACGTATGTATGTATGTATATATGTACGTATGTATGTATGTATATAAAACCATAGTATAAATATTTCTACTTATCAGTTCTTTCTCTGGATATGGATAGCATCTTCCTTCATAGGTTCTTTATACCTGATTTGAATAACACCAAAATGATTTTTGAGTAATACTCAAAATGACTTAGTCATCCAAAAGTATTCTTAGAACAGTATTGCTGTTACCATGTACAGTGTTCTCTTGGTTTTGCTCATTTCACTTCGTTATTTCATGAAAGTCTTCCATGTTTTTCTAAAATCAACCAGCTCATCATTTCTTATAGCACAGTAATAGTCTGTCACAATCATATACCACAACTTGTTTAGCCATTCCTCAATTGACAAGCATCCCCACGATTTCCACAAAGAGACCTGCTATAAATATTTTAGAACATATGAACTCTTTTCCTTTATCCCCAATCACCTTGATGTAATAATGAAGTTGATAGGTCAAAGGGTATACACAGTTTATAACTGGGCATAATTCCAGATTGCCCTCCAAAACGGTTGAATCATTTCACAGTTCCATCAACAATGAATCAGTGTCCCAATTTTTCCACATCCCCTCCAACATTTCAACTTTCCCCTTCTATCATTTCAGTCAATCTGACAGGTATAAAATCGGATCTCAAAGTGTTTTAATTTGTATTTTTTTCATCAACAGTGATTTAGAGCATTTTTTCATATGACTATATATACTTTTGATTTTCTTCACTGAAAAACTGCCTGTTCATATCCTTTGACCATTTATCAATTTAGGAATGACTTACATTTTTTAAAAATGTGACAAAGTTCTTTACATATTTGATATTATACGAGACCTTTATCTGAGAAACTGTCTATAAAGATTTTCTCCTTCTGTCTTCTTTTTGCTTTCCTTCTAATCTTGCCTACATTGGTTTTACTTGTATAAAATCTTTTCATTTAATGTAATCGAATTTATCCATTTTACATCTTACAAAGCTCTCTTATCTCGTTTATTGATAAATTTTCTCCTATGCATAGGTCTGATACGCATTATGTTCCATGTTCTTCTAATTTCTTTACATCTCCCTTTACATCTATGAATCCATTTTTACCTTATCTTGGTAAATGGTTTAAGATATTGTTCTATGCCCAATTTCTATCAGACTGCTTTCTAGTTTTCCCAACAATTTTTGCCAGATAATGAATTCTTATCCTAAAAACTTAAATCTTTACATTTGCCAAACACAAGGTTACTATAGTCATTTGCTACTGTATATTGCATGTCTACACTGATCCACTTCTATTTCTTAGCCAATAACCAGATAGTTTTGATAATTACTGCCCTACACCATAGTTGGTAATGCTAAACCGTCTTCCTTTACATTTTTTTCATTAATTCCTTTGATATTCCTGACCTTTTGTTCTTCCAAGTGAGTTTTGTTATGATTTTTTTCTAGCACAGTAAAATACTTTTTTGGTAATTTAATTGAATAAATAGGTAAAATTGTCATTTTTATTATACTGACTCTGCCTACCCATGAATAGCATTTCTCAAATTATTTAAATCTGACTTTATTTGTATAAAATCTGTTTTATAATTATGTTCATGTAGTTCTTGGGTTTGTTTTGGTAGGTATTTTACACTGTCTACAATTATTTTAAATGGAGTGTCTCTTACTATCTCTTCTTGCAGGGTTTTGTTGGTGATACATCAAAATGCTGATAATTTATGTGGGTTTCTTTTATATCCTGCTACTTTGCTAAAAAATATTGTTTCCACTAACTTTTTACTTGAGTCTTTAAGAGTTTCCAAGTACATCATCATATCATCTGCAAAAAAGAGTTTTATTACCTCAATGCCCATTGAGATTCCTTCAATTTTGTTTTCTTTTCTTATTGCTACTGCTAAGACTTCCAATACAATACTGAATAATATTGGTGACAGTGGGCATCCTCTTTTCACTCCTGATCTTACTGGAAAGCTTTCTAGCTTATCTCCATTACAAATAATGCTTGCAGATGATTTTAGGTAGATGCTTCCTATCATTTTGAGGAAGAATCCCAAGTAGTTTTAATGGAAATAAGTGTTGCAGTTTATCAAAAGCTTTTTCTGCATCTATCGATATAATCATATGATTTTTGTTACTTTTGCTATTGATATAATCAATTATGTTAACAGTTTTCCTTATGTTAAACCATCCCTGCATTCCTAGTACAAATCCCACTTGGTCACAACATATAATTTTTAATTTGTTCTTTTTCTAGTTTTTTTTAAAAATCCAATTCACTGGTCTGTTCTTTCTCTATTTTATTTATAAAAGTCAGAGATAAATTTTCTTCTTCTTTTTTTTCCAGGCAATGGGGTTAAGTGGCTTGCCCAGGGTCACACAGTTAGTAAGTATTATGTGTCTGAGGCCGGATCTGAACTCGGGTCCTCTTGACTTCAGGGCCGATGCTCTATCCACTGCACCACCTAGCTGCCCCTAAATTTTCTTCTGATCACTGCTTTTGCTGCATCCCACAGTTTTTAATATATTATCCCATTACTGTCATTCTCTTTAATGAAACTGTTCCTATGATTTGTTCTCATTCTTTAAGATCAGGTTTTTAGTCTTCAGTTAGTTTTTAATCTGTGTTTCCATGGTCCCTTATTGAATACAATTTTTACTGCATTGTGATTTGAAAAGGATACATTTAATATTTCTGCTTTCCTGCATTTAACTATAAAGTTTTTATGCCCTCATACATAGTCAATTTTTGTAAAGGTACCATGTATCACGAAGAAAAGGAGTGTTCCTTTTTATTCCCATTCAATTCTCTCCAGGTATCTGTCATATCTAGCTTATATAAGATTCTATTCAACTTTATTTTTTGGTTAGATTTATC